TATATGTATTTTTTTCTACAACAGCTGCGACATTAATTCCCGTACTATCAACCGAGAAAGCATTTCACTAGTTAACATAACTTTAAAAATGATATTAACATAAGATAAGAACCTACAGCAGCCATGCATACATTTATTTTTAATTATTTATCATTAAGTTAAATAATAAAAACACTGAAACCGTAATGATATTAGAGGACCAATAGAAATAATCGGGTTTTTCATCAAAAGTTGGAACTTATATGTAAGGTCGTAGTATAGGTGACTGGTCAATGTAAGAATAAAATGACATTGTTAAAAAGTGCTCACCAGTTTGTATATATGAACTTAATTAAGCATTATTCACGTTTTATACCATAACTCTCTATGGACCGGGTGTTGCTAAAACGCGGAACGGAAAACGGAACGGAAAGCGGAACGGAACGGAAAACGTTATATATTATTTTGGATTAAATCACTGAAAATACACTTTTATTATAAACGATATATCTTGTACATATTCAATCCCCAACTATTAAATTCAAGTTGATTTTTTCATGCTCAGTTTCTCATTTACGAAAATCGCTGACAATTAAAGCGGTCATTTAGAATCGAATTTGAAAGGGGGGGGGGGCAAACGAACTTGAAAAGTATTTGACAAACAAAAACACAAAAGGAAGACAATTGCTTGATTCGGGAGGGGGGATAAGTTGCAACTAGAACATCTTTCATTACTATTTATTTTACACTAACTTACTACATTAATTACATTACACAAAAAGTGTGAGGATGTCAACTTGAACGAACATTTCCGTAGAAAAATGTTATGACTGGGAAGGGGGGGGGGGGGCATTTGATATATAGATGAACCATGGAAAGAGAAATACAATGTAAAGCAAATTTATTAAGATTACGTTCAGGGCAAACCTTTACAGCAAGCTTGAATAAACATTTCTTATACACACTGGTTGTTAAAATTTTTATTCAAAATAGAGTCGCTTTCTGTTTATATTTAAATTCCGGATAGACAAAGTTGGAAAACTTTCATGTGGTAGATATAATGCAGAATTTATGCATTCAATGAAGTTAAATTTTGTTTGTTTACGGTACATATTTGTATATGTTTCGGGGGTGGGTGGGTGTAAATGAATGAATGTATGAATGACCCCGTAAAAAATGAATTTGTTTTTTCCCGCTCATCGGAAAGGCCGGAGAAGTTGTAATAGGTCTGCCCCGCTTTTTGTGTCCAAAATTTATATAAGGTATAATAAATCAATTTTTAATGTGGCTATGGGCCCCTACACAGACCAGAAACTGCCACTTGACCCCCTTCTCATGATTCGCAAATTCGACACTGCGTGCATAATCTGAATATCATAACTAGTTATTTTAGTCTTTACAGACATTGAAAACAAATTGAAAGAGGAGGTGGGAGTTCAGTAAAAAATTTCCAACATACAACAAATTTGACAAACAAAAAAGGGGATATGTCCTTTGCCCAAACACGAAAAGCCTATTTCGTGTGTATGTATTTGGGGGGGGGGGGGGGGGGTCGAATTTCTTTCAGTTCCATTTTTCCACGGAGGGTGTGTATGACTCATAAATATATACCCGGTAATAATTAACAATATTTTATTTTTATTAGAAATGACTTAGAATATTGCTCTTTAATCTGATTTATATCGAATCTATGTTATTTGTTTGACAAAAATTTTCCGTTTCCGTTCCGTTCCGCGTTTTAGCAACACCCCTATGGGCCCTGGCAACCCTTCTTAAAGTGCCTCTCTTCTGCACCCCCCCTCCTCATCTAAGTTTCAAAAAATCATTGCTAACTAGTCTATTTCAGTGCATTATATTTACATTAATAACGATGTTAGTGATTTAAAAAAATTGGAAAAATCAAATATTAAAGTTGGAATTTCCAAATTTAACGTTGGAATTATCAACTTTAAAGTTGGAATTTCCAGTTTTAAAGTTGGAAAAGCCAAGATTAAAGTTGGAATTACCAACTTTAAAAAAAATATATTTCGTGTCACTCATACGCTTCCGTAATATTACATTGTAGCAGTAGGTGGTTTTCCTTCACTGGAGACAAGCAGCCGTTACGTCCTTATGTAAATCAGGATTTCCTGATATTCTTGACAACATCAAAGAATGCAGATATAAGTAATAAACAACGATTATTTAGTGAACATGGTATTATGAATAGCAATAACTCTGCTGGCATATTTTCCATGTATATACATAAATGTATTGCTTTTTTTATGTTACAGTACATTTAGTTTGACCTTTTTTCATTGTGTCAATATAAAATTACACATTGGACGTTTTCCCTCAATTTCTTTATCCAAAAAAAAGCAGGGAACTAAATAAAGTCTATTTAAGAAAAGACACTTCAAAATTGTGACTAAAACGTTTCAAATTGCATACTCAATTATTTGACCTTTTTTCACTCATAAAATGTTATTTTTCTGGCATTGAAAAATTATTTTTAAGTTTCAGCAGATATGTCAAATAATAAAAAATAAAATAAGACACCATGGATTTTAGCTGAAAGCTTGGAATTACTTTAGAAAGGAAGAACTTTTTCTATAACTACAGCAGGTCAAGCAATTAAAATGATGAAAAAAAAAATTGTGTTTTTAATCTATAAAGCAAACAATCCATAATCTACTATTTTAAGATGATACAAGGCAATAAATCTTAATATTTGTGTTAACAAATTTCTGTCGACTGTAAATTAATTATACAAAAGTATATTGCAATTGTTTGCACACATTTTAAGAATAGTGGTAGAAGTATTCTGATTATAAGACTATTCGTCTTTTTTACATAATATTCATGATCCAGGTACGAAAATCAATGTAAATTGTCTTTCCCTCATTAATGTTTGATGGTGGGCCTAAGTCATATTCTTCCATGAAAATACAACCGAGTTCAAATATTTCTTCATCACATGGTAGCACGTGATCGATGGTACATTCAAGCTTACAAAGCTCAAGCACTTCTTCGTCAATAGGATGAATATAATCTTGAACTCGTAAGAGCTCTGGAAAAAGATAAACATTCGATGGACGACCTCGAATAGATCCCTCTGCCGTTTTTTTAGACTGCAGATAATGCGTATTCCACACTCGTGCTACTTCGTCCAACTCAGTCTGAAAAAATAAAGTGATTTTTAAATACAAGTACTTGCAAAGTTTAAAATCAATAAGTTTTTGATCGTAACGCGTAACAATAATATTGTAGAAATCTGAAATCTTGCTATACTTAAGGATATCTGTTCCTCAGTCGGGAAGGATAACTCAAAAAATCAATACAAATAAAATTGAAAAGCAAAAAAATAAAGCTTGGAAATATTTTTTTTTTCATGCAACAATTTTCATTTTATTCAACTTTATCAGATTCAAGGTTTTTTGAAGTCATAGAAAAGGTCATATAATGGTTGACATTATTTTGTACCCTATAATAGGGGGGAAAATAATACAGTTTTAGAGAAGTAAGATTTTATTGAATCAAGGCTTAGATACCAATATTTTAAAGTAATTTGTGGTGTCTTGCAATGATAGCAAAAAACTTTTACACTATGAACTATAGAATACTATAATCCCCTATACAGTATATGACGGAAATAGAAGACAAAAAATACCAAAAAAGTATAAAAATCATGACAATTTCTCTGAATGCCCGGTAACCTATCGTTTTTAAACCTGAAATATAATTGTTGATCTATTTGTAATTAGAAAATGCATTGCAGATATTCCAATTCTCTTTTTCTGCAAAAATATTGGAGATTTGGCATTTTTCCCTTTATAATATGATAAACTTTAGACCTAATCTTAAAGGTACTTGGACACAGATTTGAAGTTAATATTTTCTCATTTTTTCTGTATAATATCACGAATTATATATTTTAATAGCATTTCACACAAAAATTATTTAAAATCCTAATTTCATTTAAAAGTTATTAAAACTTTAAATTTTTTGGCGGGTTTGATTGACACATCCTTGCACATTCACAAATTTTAACTTTATTCTTAATCCTTAGGAAAAGTGGCAATTTTAATGTGTTTTAATGAGAAATATTAAAACTTTTAACAAGAAAAATAATTTTATTCAGAGTAGAAATGTTAGAAAGCAAAACACCTTCACAAGTATCGTCATTCCGAACTAAGAGATGCGTACAGAGTTTAGCAAATCGAGCACACTCGTGTTATGTACACAATTTTTGTAAACACGGCTCGAGTTCTGTTATTGTTTATATTTAGAATTCACCGGGTGCGTTTAATCGTCACAGTCTGCTTACCACAACTGCACGGACTGACAATATATTGTGTGTTTGTTTTGCTTTCGAACATGTCTACTCTGAATTTTCTGGATTATAGTATTAATATTTTTCATTTATACAACACGAGATTGCCACTTTTCCTAAGGATTAAGAATAAAATTAAATTTGTGAGAGTGCAAGGATATGTCAATCAAACCCGCCGAAAAATTTGAAATTTCAATATCTTTTAAACGAAATAAGATTTTTAATTAATTTTTGTGTGAAATGCTATTAAAATATATAAGTCCTAATGTTATAGCGAAAATAATAACTTCAAATCTGTGTCCAAGTACCTTTTAACTTAAAAGAAATACTGTGGACAAATTTATATAACTTAGTGGATTCAGAGATACTTTTATGAATGCTTTTGATTACTTAACTGCTAATTAAAAAACCTGAGAATCGAACTACCTTAATTCTAAGAAAACCTTCTCGTTTGAAATTAGAATTACAAATCGACGTGGAAATAAATAAATCTCTAGAACAGAAACATGTTTACCTGAAGTAATGTCATAAAACAAAACTGAAGCAGATTAGTGTCTAATTTGTCACCCGTAAAAAGACCCCGATTCTGCAAATCCTTTAACTCTTCAATCCATGTCTGGCAACATT